GATTAATTGCAATTGATTCAAAACCATTTTTGTATTCCTTTAGGTGATTATGAAAAGTGATAGCTTCCTTTCTTTCCCTTAGAATTGAAGTACCAAGTTCTTTAAGAAAACCTTTAAAAAGACATTTATATGGAAATGCTCTATCATATAAAATGTTGTTCATTCTGAACAATGCATTCAAAATGATTTCAATTGTTCTACCAATTTCAACAAAACTAGTAGTTTCATTTACTACTTGAGATTGCAGAAGTTTTTGCTGAGCAAATAAATCAGTAAAGTATGATGTGCACAATTTTCTGTAAGGAAGGCTTCCATTTGTGATGAACTGCATTCCAAACAATCTTTCTATTTCTCTTCTGTATATTTCTTTAAACTCAGTGAGAATTTTGGAATAATCTAAAAATAACTTTGCTCTTTCAAGAACAAAAATCCAAAATTGTCTAAAATTTGTACTAAATTGATTAAAAATGCTATAGCGAAAGTATTTCATAAATTTAATGCAAATCGACGAATTCTTTTCCATATATGTTATCACTGATATGCATTCATTCATACTATTAACTATTTCACTTTTTCCATCAAAAGCAACTCCAAAAAGATAAGCCTTGAACAATTCTTTTTGTTTAAACATTCGAGTATAAAGCTCGAATAACTTCTCCATCTCCTTCGTTGATAAAAGACTTTTAAACTTATCACAAATTTTTTCACTTAGATCTAAATATTTCAAAACATTTTTAGAGAATTTATAGAAAATTGATTCATCTCTTCCAATCCATTTTAGTGATTGATTGTAAGCTTTCATGAATGGACTCATTTTTAAAAAAAATTCATTAAGCACTTTGTAATTTAAATCTAATTTATTTTTAAAATACTTTTCCCCAAATTCCAAAACGTTTAAATATTCTGAATTTAATGCTTTCTTCTTATCTTCGTTTCCAATTAATATTGTCTCAGTCGAAAACATCGATAACGCTGAGAATGATATACTTGGTTCAAAACGAATTTGTCTACATGGAACAGTGCAGGAACAATCTAATTTATCTTTTTTTATTCTTTCCAATGTTGTTTTTATGCATTCGTAGTTTTCCCAAAACGAACACTGTCTCATGCTTTGAAACGATTCATCTGTTAGAATTGACTTTGCTTCAAATGGAATGCAGTTGCATATTTGTGAAACTCTTTTCAGCCTACAGTGATCTATACATTCAGCATGCGAGTTGTACTTTGATTGCGTACATTTCCCAAATGGCTTACCCAAACTCTGCGTTTCAGTCCGTTTTATTCCAATTAGGGTATGCATTCCAGCTGCCACTGCAAAACCCAAATCAGACATTAACGGTCTCTTGTGGTCGTTATGCAAGAAAATCCTAACACCAACATTGTTATCTGGCCCAGGCATGTATTGATATTGCTCAATGTTTAGTAAAAGAGAAAGAGCACTGTTCATTCCAGATTCCGAAACAGTCAAAGGTTGTGTTTGTTGAAGCGAAGAAGGAGAGTTGAATGTAAAACAGATTCCATAATCGGTTATGGTTTGTGTAAAGTGTTTTGGAAGACATTGGCGACCCGACCAATGACAATTGAATATAAAATTAGATTGTTTATGACCTGTGTAGTTGTAAATCCACTCAACGTCGTCAGTTAAGTTGTTAGGCAAATATTGTCGGAAAGAATTGTTTGCAGTCATCTTTTTGGAATAGACGCTGCTTAAATATTTATATAAACCCAATTCTATTGTCTGCTTCATTCTGTGCATTTTTGAAACATTTAAAGAAAGCAATTGATTAACTATGGAGAAGATAAATTACCTGAATTTATTTTGGTTACAGATGGTCACTGATGGAAATTCGAGAAGATTAGGATAGATCATCTCAATGTTAACAGCCACTTCCCTCTTTCTAAAGTCATATTGCCTGGAATACACCTGATAGGAAAAGAGAGAAATTGCTCCCAAGACAATGATGGTCCAAATAAGACGTCGAAAAAGTGAGTAGTTTTTATCAAAGATATTTTTTATTCCATGAAATGTTGTTTCATTGGAGAAATTGGACCAGGTGACCGCCATCTTTATTTCTCCTTAGCTGGATATTTCATAGAGAATGTCTGATGAATGAGAAGGTATTTTATTAGTAATGTATGTTGTCGACATTGTTACCTTTGCATATGCTGTTTTATATGAGGGAATATAGACAGATGATCAAGCATGAATAATTTTTTATATGGCAAGTAGTTTTTTTATTATTAATAAAATAACTGGGTTTGTGAACATGTTGCATATTTCAAGAACACACCAATTTCAGTTTGTTGAATATTTGAGGACTAATAATTCATATGGAGAGACAATTTTTCTGAATTAACATTAACAACTAATCAATTGTAATCTATAATTTATAAATATGCGATGATATAGTTAGTATTATGACTTTTTTATGCCATCGATGAGGAATGCGATAACTGACTGTATTTAACAAGCACATATATTGTTTTAAAGTTTTTAGGTTTTTTTGGCGTGATACTTAGAAATGCTATAGAGAAAAGACAAGAGCTATATGCTAATGAGTAGTAAAGGTGTAGGAGGGAAATAATATGGGTAGTGAGAAAAATGTAAAATAATTGTGATGTTTAGAAGATATCCTTTCCGATGGCTTCTTCATAATAGGATAAAATCTAGAGTCAGTATAAATAATTATATCGGTGAGAGAGTTTTAAAGAAAATGAATAATTGTTTATCTGTAAAGAATCCAGCTGTAGAACTATTGTCCAGTTATTCAGATTGATAAAGTCTTGTCACTTGAGAGATAATTAGCGAAGGCAATTTTAGAAAGTTGTAGTAAGGTAAAAGATGCACCAGAAAATGTTATGACTTTGTATAGTTTTTAGTCTAATTCATAAATCATTTATTTACTGCATTGGACTATTTACATTCCTACTAATCTCAATCCAGCTGTATAAGCTTCTTTTATTTGATCAATTAAAGATTAGTGAGAATGAAAGCATGAAGTAAAGATAATGATGGAATTAGGATTTTTTTTATAAACTATATAGCCGCACTTTCTCTTGCATCTAGTTTTAATTCTTTCACGGATTTCTTACGTTTGTTGGATAAAGTTTGCATTGACTATAGAAAAGATTAAAGATGAATATAAGAGATTTGTATAATTTATAAAGAATGGAATACCTTGTAGACAAAAAAGTCAATAAATTCAATAACTGTTACAAGAGATGCTCCCAAAACTAATCCCATAAATCCACCAACTTCAGACAGAAATGACAAAAAGCTAAATTTTTCTTGTTGAATAATCTTCAAGTAGCTTATATCTTTATAGAAAATATCAACTTTTACAAAATTCTTTCTATTGATAAAAAAAATAAATCAGTAATAAAAATGAAAAATATAAAAAAGAAAAACATTTTTTACAGGAAAAAATCTTTATCTATTTTTGAAATTCTATCAAATTCTTTCATAAATATGCTCAAATCATTAAAAGCCTCGAAAATATTACTAGAATAATAATCAGAACTATTTTGAAATTTGAATAAGGCGTTTTCAACAACTTTTCCAGTTTTTAATAGGCAGCTATTAAAACTAATGGGAAATTTATTGTTCAGAATATTCTTTGAACAATTAAATTTGATATGAAAAGCATCCCAAAACGAATAATTTATTCTTTTATCTAAGCTATAATCTATTTTTGGAAATGGCCATTTCGATACTTTATATATTGATAGCAAATCATTTTCGATTGTCCTGATATCTTCAATAGAAATTTGAAATTGCTTGAAAGCATTTGCAGTATTTTTATGAAAATTTGTGAAATTTTTAATTTCGTCAGAGAAATCATCTGTCAAAAACAGACGAACCAAATTATTCTTATTATTTGATATTGAATATTTATTATTTAAATATGATTGTATTTGTTGAAGTTTTTTTAATAGATTCTCGTAAACTGGTAAAATTGACTTCAAATTCTTGTCAAATTCAAAAAAATTATTGTAAAAATTTTTGTAAAACTTCTTAATATTCAAGACACTAGAATTTAATGTTGTAACAGTTTCTTTAAAAAAACATGAGGATTCCAATTTTTGATTTTCAAAGATTTTATCAATTTCAAAAATTACAGTCAGAAGTATCTGAATTTCATTATTAATTTCAGGAAAACTGCTATTATGATTGATAGGTGGACATTGCAGCAAGTTTAGCTGACTTAATATGTCTGTAAAGGATTGTTTGCAAAGTTGATTAAATGGTACCAACGTTGTATTGGATATTTTCAATCCATAAATATTTTCTATCTCCCGTATATACATATCAATAAAATTGTCAAATTTGTTTGAATTACCCAAAAGTAGTTTTGCATTTTCAGTAGCGGAAATCCAAAATTCTGTAAAGTTTTTGTTAACAAAATTGAAAATGCTAAATTGAAAATAATCCATGAATTTATTACAAATACTAGATTTCAAATTCCCTTCATTGAACAATGACAAACAATCTTTCATGTTCTTAAATAAATAGTTTCTTTGCACTTGAATTGGCCCAAAAAGATTATTTTTCAATAACGTGTTTTTATTAATCATTTCAGAGAAAAGCACCAACATCTCTTCCATCCTCTTAGAATATAACACATTTATTAATTTATTTATCTTTTTTTCCAATATATCTATAGATGCTAAATATAGCTTTTTAAAGTCAACACCAATCCAATCTCCTATTTCTACGCCCTTAAAAGTATTAATAAACTCTTTTAACATTGGAATCATTTTATTAATAAAATCATTCATTAATTTTGAATTTAAATTGCTTCTACTTGGAAGGTTCTTTTCCCCAATTTCCAAGATATTTAAATATTCCCATTGCAGTAATTGCTTTCCTTTCAAATTAGCACTTAGTATCTTATCAACAGTAAACTGGGAAATAGATGAAAATGATAGACTTGGTGCAAACGTAATCTCTTTACAGGGAAAAGAACAAGCACAGTCCATTTTATCCTTTTTAATTTTTTCCCATGTTGTCCTAACACATCCATAATTTTCCCAAAGAAAACATTGTCTCATGCTTTGAAACGATTCATCTGTTAGAATTGACTTTGCTTCAAATGGAATGCAGTTGCATATTTGTGAAACTCTTTTCAGCCTACAGTGATCTATACATTCAGCATGCGAGTTGTACTTTGATTGCGTACATTTCCCAAATGGCTTACCCAAACTCTGCGTTTCAGTCCGTTTTATTCCAATTAGGGTATGCATTCCAGCTGCCACTGCAAAACCCAAATCAGACATTAACGGTCTCTTGTGGTCGTTATGCAAGAAAATCCTAACACCAACATTGTTATCAGGATCAGGCATGTATTGATATTGCTCAATATTTAGTAAAAGAGAAAGAGCACTGTTCATTCCAGATTCCGAAACAGTCAAAGGTTGTGTTTGTTGAAGCGAAGAAGGAGAGTTGAATGTAAAACAGATTCCATAATCGGTTATGGTTTGTGTAAAGTGTTTTGGAAGACATTGGCGACCCGACCAATGACAATTGAATATAAAATTAGATTGTTTATGACCTGTGTAGTTGTAAATCCACTCAACGTCGTCGGTTAAGTTGTCAGGCAAATATTGTCGGAAAGAATTGTTTGCAGTCATCTTTTTGGAATAGACGCTGCTTAAATATTTATATAAACCCAATTCTATTGTCTGCTTCATTCTGTGCATTTTTGAAACATTTAAAGAAAGCAATTGATTAACTATGGAGAAGATAAATTACCTGAATTTATTTTGGTTACAGATGGTCACTGATGGAAATTCGAGAAACTTTGGATAGATTACGTTTACATTAGCTATAGTGTCTCTTTTCTTATAATCATTATGTCTTTTAAGAGTTTGATAAAAGAAAAAAACAATTGCTCCAGAGATAAAAATTATCCAAAGAATTCGTCTAAAAGTTGAATTATTATTATCAAAGATATTTTTTATTCCGTGAAATGTTGTTTCGCTTGAGAATTTCGTCCAAGATTTGTTAGTTTCTGATAAAGATGTGTTGCTCTCCATTTTTATATGTAACACTTTGATATACTTACTTATAAATGTGTGTAAATGGTTTGTTCAAGTCATATGCATTCATAGCAGACATGTGAATGGTTGAATGCTTTAGAAGTGTTAATTATTTAATGATGTATAATTTTGGTGTAGCGTGGTTATCGATTTGTAGCAGTAATTTTGCTTGGTTTCTAAGGGATATTTCTGTTATAGTTTTTTTATTTGAATAGCCTTGATGTTAACAAGATAGATTGCATTACTCAATATTAATGACAAGTTATTTTGAACAGGAATAGATGGAAATATTTCAGCTTATTACTCATCAATTAAAATTATTTTATTTTTGCATTTAATATTTATTGATTATAATTTTAAAAATGTAATAAAACTGTACGAATTATCTCTAATCTTCAAACATTCTTGTTTACTTAAATTACAAGATTTGAAATTGATACACCAAAGAGTTTTTGACAATTTAGCAAGTGTTTTATAAACATCAACCATTTCTCTTCCTATATCTCCGTTATTGGCTAGATTGATTTTACCTATGTTTGAACAACTATTCAATAGATTTTCTATACTCTTCCATTGTTCTCTATTCAAATTACAGCTGTCAAAATTAATATCTTTTAAAGTTGTTGATGAGCTATGAAGTCCTTCACAAATGTATTCAAAACCATTTCCGATATTTTTACAGTGTGCTATATTGACTGTTTCTATATTGGAACAATTTTTTAACAGATTTCCTAACCGTCTAGATTGTTGGGCGTTTAAATTACAATTTTCAAAATTAATATCCTTTAATGTTTTGGAAGAACGAAGGAGTTGTTGATAAATATCGGATAATCCTTGTCCCATCTTCTCATTCCAACCCATATTAATTTTTTCAATTTGAGAACAATTATTAAAAAGTTGAACAATGTTTCTACTTTGTCCCAAGGTCAAATCACAATATGAGACATTAATATCCTTTAAAGTAGCTGAGGAGTTGACGAGTCCTTGACAAATATCTGAGAATGCGTATCCCATAGTCTTATTCCAACCAATATTTATTGTATCTATTCTGGAACATTTTCCTAAGAGATATCCAATTTTCCTGCAATGTTCTTCGTTTAAATCGCAATTTTCCAATTGTATTTCCTTTAAAGTGCTGCTCGAATGAGTTAATTGTTTACAAATGTTAAATAATCCGCTACCCATCATATGATTCCATGTTAGATTTATTGCTTCAATTAGATAAGAATTACGTAATAAATTTCCAATCTTTTTACTCTGTTTTTCATTTAAATTACAATGGTTAAGATTAATGATTATGAGCTGATTATCTGATTGTTGAAGAGTTGTATCAAGTAATTTTAGCTGTTCATCTTGTATCTGCCTCTCAGATAAGTCAATTAGTTTCTTTTCTTTTTGAACATCTGTCTGAGATATTTTTCTATTCCTATCCTCTTCTTTATCTTTTTTTTCGTCCAGTTTAAACATTGGAAGAACTGTACAATCCGCATGAAGTTCTTTCCAGCATAAGACGCATATATTTTTTATTTGGTGCGTTTCGCAATAAAGAGACGACTCCTTTTTATGTTGATGACAAAAGCTATTGTTTATTGATAGTTTTTCAATTGAGCTCTCTAACCGATTTTTTGGTAGATTAGTAACTTGACCTTGAGGGAGAGTACAATTTTGCCTACATTCTGGACAGGTAATTTGAAAATTTTCATTTGGTAATTTATTCAAACATTCAAAACAAAAAGTATGTTGACAAGGCAATACTTTGGGATTATTTTCAATCCAAGATTCTAGGCAAATAGCGCATATTAATTGTTCATCACTGATAAAGTATCCACAGGTAGCCATTTTGAAAAGATCTCTTTCTTCACCTGTAGCTATGTCTTTGATACTGAAATGTTAACTAGTGTATATCATAATTCTTATCAGATAAGATGTACTTTAGATGTTCAATGCCATTGTAAGCCATGCTAATTTTAAAATATAAGATGCCAACGTTTTCAATCGATCGAGCCAAGTTTGTATTTTATCATGAGAAAGTTGTGGGTAGAGGACGGATCAAATACAATCTAATTAGTATATTCTACTTGATAGAAATGTAGAGGTAGGCGAGTACAGAACAATACGTTTGAGAACTTCCCTGATCTCTGCCAATTAATATATTATTAGGGTGGGAGTGATGTATCCTGCGTTAATGTAGTATAAGAGTCATATCTAGCCTTAAAATTGTAGGAATTTCTGCTTCTTCACAACAGAAATCATCCTTTTCATTCATTTACCATTTTGCCAAAGTACCGGTCTAAATAGAACCTCAAGTTCGTCCACAAAAATACCAACCTTTAGAATGAATTTAGTATTAAATATTATTCTAACTCCTACGAAATAAAGGTCTTCGCAAAGTTCTATCATATCTAAAGTCTAAATATCACTATGTCATTATTTCTAAGTATACAATTGTAAAGAAATGTAAAGAAATAATGTTAGCATAATTACATGTTACATGATAACATGATATTATAATTAAAATATGACTCAGGTATGGAAAGTACAACTTTTCATAAACAATGTAATTAACATCCCTTCTAAAAGAATATGATACTGAGATGTGGGAAAATTAGAAAACCCTTTTTGCACATATGGAACTATTTAAGATTTAATGATCATATGATTCTCTTAATTTGAAGTGTAACAAGGTGTTTGATAAATGTAATTTGAATTATTTTTATAAATGAAAGACGTTACTTTATCCAGAACGAAAACAATAACAAGTGTATGAAGCGTCTGAAAAGTTCGACATTCGCCTTTTCAAACTTATTTGTTTCTTTACTATTTGAATAGTGTTTCACTTGTCATAGACCAACATTCTACTTCCTTTGATCTATAAATAAATATGTACTAATAATTTTTAAATATCAATATATCGTTATTTCAAAGTATATATTTTGCTAATTGGAATGTTTTAGGCCTGCGAGTGGGCGTTTAATAGAGTATGTCTATCATTTTTAGCTCATAGAAGAGATACGTATCATTCTAAAAACAGGGCTTTTATGACCGGATAATGAAAAGCTGGCCATTTATTAGAGAGTTGAGTATGATAATTATAGTCAATGATGGATAGAATGATAAACTTCATACCATATTTTGTTTTCGATGGGAAAACTATGAATAAAAGCGAAGAAATCTTATTTTCCGATTATGTACAAATGTTTAATACTTTTTTCAAAATGAAATATAATATCTTCTTTATTATTATATCAATTTTCTATGCTTTAGTTGTTATCTATGGAATAATTGGAAATATTCTTATAATTATAATATTCGCAAAAGGTAAATATTATAAATCTACTCAATATGGATTCTTTCTTCAATATCTCGCCTGGATGGACCTATTTTCGTGTATTTTCTCAGTACCATTAATTTATCATAGAGATATTCAAATACTCTTTTTACCAATAACAAATCAAGTTATTTGCAGTGTTTCAATAAGTTTACAAGATATTTTTCCATGGAATTCCATAACGATTCTCCTTCTAATTTCCGTTGAAAGATTTTTTGTAATTGTTAAACCATTCACAAAAATCAGTAAAAGAACATGGAGGTCAATATGTTTATTCTATTTTATGATTATATTCACAACCTCTATTCTACATTCCATTCGTAATGACTCTACTCAAGAAAAAAACTACCTGTGCTATCCAACAAGTGGCAGTAGTGGCAGTAGTATTACTGGTAAAATTGTTATGGTTGTAGCAGTATTTATGGCTATTGGTGTGCCAATAATTTCAACTGCATTGTATATTGTTATGTTTTATTATTTGAAAAAGCAAATGTCTACAATACGATACGTTTCATCAGTAGCAAATTCACAGTCTTGTCAGAAAAATAAAGGAATTAAACCTAATAGAAACATTGTTAGACAAATGTTTCTTTGTTTTTATCTTGTTGTTATTTTTATTGTTTTCACCTTTCCACAAATCATTTCCGCTTCCGGAATAATTAAAGTTAACGAATCTATTTATTATCATATAATTTATTTAAATAATGTTATAAATTTTGGTGTTTATTGCATTAAATTAAAGTCTTTTAGAAACGATGTTAAATCTTTATTACGAAAAAATAAATAGTCCAAATTTCCCTATTTGGACTATTCTTTAACTAAAATATCACTGTGCAGTACGTTGTGCCATTGCTAAAACTACAAATGATGTATAACTAGTGCCACCTGTCGTATAAATAATCAGTTGCAATTTTAAAGACAAAGAAAAGTTGGCGGATTACAGTGCATTGGTGTTGTTAAAACTTGTCCAATAAAGTAACTTTCATTAGCCGGTTTAATAAAAAGAGAAGAAAGCGCAGTCAAATTCGATATACAGCAAACTTTTTCAATAAAACTATAAGAGAATATTAAACAATATTTTTCATTATTACAAATATTAAAACAATCTTTTATAGATTGTTCTATTTTCCTCATTTGACACGAAATATCTAAAGTAAATGTTGAATTCTGTATAATTCTAGTTTGCAATTGGCAACTGGAATTCTTTCTAACGTCCTTCTTTATGTTTATAGAATAACCCCAAACTTTTATTTCGCAAATTTGTATAGAGTTCAACGAATTTGATTCAATAGATAGCTGATTACCATTTAGACGTCTCTCGCAATTTATTTCAATAAAGTAACGATTCTTTTCTGATGTTGCTTGAAAACTTTTGCACAGCTGCCTATTTTCGCTCTGAGTTTTATTTTGAACGAATACTTTAAGTAGTAAATCTGTTTTGAATAGATAAATTGATTATAACTGTTGATACTCGCCAGAATATTCATCATGAGATTGTTGAATAACTATTTGTTCAACTGTAAAATCACCATCAAAAGTGATTATTAAATGTTTAGCATGACTTAGAAGTGTACATGAACTTTCTTTTGATAATTTTGTAACATTGTTAAAATTACCATCAATAGCTTTAACCGTTTGATTAAAATATGCTTTATTATCTTCATTAGAGAAGGCTTCAATTAGAGGTATATTAATAGGATTAATTTTATCGACACTAACGTCATCTTCTTGATTTTCAGGTATAGAACCAAACACATTTTGCTGGCATCAATTTGATTATATTCAATAGAATTTTGTAAGAGAACGTATCTGCCAAGGTTATATTTAATCGAACAGTTCCATATTAATAATTCCCCGGCACGGTTCATATCAATATCTGTAATATTCTCACAGTCTGTCGTCCTAATCAAGAATTCTTTGGTCAAATTCTCTCTTCTTTTAGCAAATTGAAAATTGATATAATATCTTTCAATCTGCCACTCTTTATAAATTGAAAGAAAAAAAGAACAAAATGATGATTATCATATTTATCTAAATATTTATTTATTATTTATACCTTGTTTCTTGGGTATTGAAAGAATACCAACATTTTTAATATTATAAACACGAAATAGGTCAATTGCTATCCAATTTATTATATTTATCTGTTTCTGCAAAATGTTTCCCACTAAATCCATCAGTTGCAAAGTATGGAGAATAATATTGATCTTTATTTTTCATTGTCGATGACCATGCAGGTTTACCTCGGGCAATATTTGAAAATTTTTCATCTACATAAATAGTATATTAATTTAAGTTAGAATTTATGCAAAAGTAATAATGATTAATTACCAGTTTTGTCGCTATGAAATAAACCCCAAACTTTTACTTTACCAAATTTTGTATATTTTGTTAAATTTAAAATAATAAATTGAGCTAGAAAGTGTTGATTGCATGGCATAAAGAGGTATTCGCTGTAAATCCTTTGTTCATGAAATGATGTACATAGCTCTTTTATAATATTTCCTTCGTTAGGGAAGAGAACATTTTGAGTTGAAAGGTAAATGTCTAAACCAGAAGTGGTAATGTTAAATAAATCTACACCATAAATAAGATAAATTCCTTGGATATCCAATATGAATTTTGGTAAAATGTCATAAAACCATGGCTGGAACAGCACATTTGTATCATACTCTTGTACAGAATAACCCGGGTAATTAAAACTGCTAACTGAAGAAGAAAATGCCTCTGCTTGAAGAGCTAAATCGCCTGTATAAATTGTTTAGAATTATAAATATTAAGAGAATTCTGGTATCATGTGACCAATAAAATTAATTATTCAAAATACTAACTGGTAAATATTTCAATTTCGCATATTGTTATTTCTGAAGTAGATGTTGAACTAAAGTAGACAAATCGACCAGTACTTGTACTTGCCTACATTATATTTTCCGGCTGACTGAACACCATAGCATAAATTTCTATAATATCTTGATTTTTCCCTTGAATCTGGTTGAGTAAAATGCACTGCATTTCCGGAAATTTTAATCATTTTCTGTATTATCTCATCTTCTTGATTCAATCCTTTCCAACCATCATAATTTTCTGTAAGCGCGAAACCCGACATTGAACACTTGGTATTCGTTCTCCAAAGTATCTCTAAGTTACTTAAGTCACTTGTTAATTTTTTGTGGGATTGTAGTTTAACTTCTATCACATGACCTAAGATTTGAAGAGAAAGAAGAATACCATAAAGGATAAAAGTCTTGGCCATTGTTGAAAAAGATAAATGAAGGATATCGTTTAAATAGTTATTGATGCTTTTAAAAAATATTTGCCTGTTCTTAAATATTTATACATTCTTTCCTTTTTCATTGATTTTCTTCGCCTACAGTGTATTCTATCTTAATAAATTAATAAAATTAATAAATATCCATTATTTTACAAGGTCAGAATCGTCTCTTATAGAAAATTACACGCTTTTCTTAACTTATTCAAGAATTTGGCCTACTTACACCTAAAGAAATTTTAGGGGCCGACAGAAAACGTCCCCAAATGAGATTTTTGAAAGCAACATTTCGGATTGAAAAATTGTTGGAAGGAGTAAAGTAGCTTTTGATTTATAGTTAGGGGGGTTCCATCTAAGGGTTAGGAGCAATCAAGAAGGTTAAGGAGAGACAAGGGGTAGGTTAGGGTTAGGGTTAAACCATGAATTTGGGGACGTTTTCTGTCGTATCCGAAATTTTACTATCTTTCATCTGAAGATATTGATTACAATTAGACCTACATTTCTTAAATTAAACAATTTTTTTTTTGTTATTCAAATTTGATAGTCGATTTCTAAAATCCTTACTTTTTGTTACACTTTAAGTAAAACCACATAAGGTTGGAGTCACGTGACAATTATAACCATGTAACCTTAGAAATGTTACATTTATGACTTCGCTCTGACGACGTTACATTTGCAACCACGCAGAACCTAATGAATACATAGATATTTTATCGCTATCTAAACAAACTACAGTAGAGACATCTATAATTTATAACGAACTAAATATTTCCTCAGGCTATAGTTTTTTCGGCAATTTATAGGTGGCTCTAATAGTATTGAACTATGGTCTTTAGAAGTTGATTAAAGCTGTTGGAGAATAAAACATGGGACCATTCAGCTTAAAATATATTGTTTTCATGGCATCAATAGCAGTCTATTTTTACAGGCAAAACGTAGCTAATTTCATAATATCGAATGGATTTTTTCGTGAAATAATCAATCATCATCCAGGAAAATGCCGTGTTTTGAACGGTATTAAAGGCTCTGAAGATATGCATCAATTATCGAATGGTAAGGTTATTATAACCTCTGACATTGGTAATATTGCAGATCCAACGAATCAACTACCAAATCACAAAGGACGCCTTTTTACAATTGATTTAGAAAGTGTTGCTAAGAAATTAATTGAATTAGAATTACCAAAAGAATTGGAGGCAAGTAATTTCTTTCCACACGGTATTAGCGTGCTGGAAAGGCCTGGAAAATTTCCCTTGGTCTATGTCATCAACCATCCAAGGTTGTCTTCGGACAGAGTAGAGAAACTGGAATGGGATATTAACACAAACAAATTAAAATATTTGAAATCTTTTACTGATCCAAAATTCACTTTTATCAACGATTTAGTCGTTTACGAAGAAGATGTATTTTACGTAACGGTCTTTTTAAGGTCTACTTCAAGGTTTATGAGGGAAATCGAAGGAACTTTTAAATTACCTCTTGGATACGTTCTATTATATAATCACGGTGAAACTTCAATACAGGCGGATGGATTATCTATGCCAAATGGTATCAATTTATCAAATGATAAGAAACTGCTCTATCTTGCCGAAGGTGGATCTTACAACATTCAAATTTTTAAACGGCATGGTATTGAAAAATTGGAATTAATTCAAAATGTTCCATTGCATACCATGCCTGATAATATTTCTGTGGATAAAAATGGCGATTTACTTATTGGTTGTCATCCAAAACTTATTGATGTATATTTCCATCTCCATGACAACAGCTTAATATCTCCTTCTCAAATACTACGAGTGAAAATTCAAAACGATAGAGCTCAGTCAGTAACTGAAATTTTTGCAGACAACGGAAACCTGGTGAAGGCTTCTACAGTTGCTGTTGTGAATAAAAATGCTCTACTAATTGGTACAATAGGCAATGAACTTTTATTGTGTGACATTCATCAAGATTATTTGCCTTAAATGAATAAAATAACAATAGAATAACTAGAAACAACTGTGTTTTATAGCGACTGTATATAATATAAAGAGTGAAAAATATAAACGGTACAAGGTCAAGGACTAGTGATAAGTTTATTATAAATTAAAATTATACTTAATAAAACAAACAAAGAAGAAAAGGCTACAATGTTGTTTGTTTAGATTATAATCTTTCATTTTTAACAATGTCTTTTGCTTGAGAACAGTTTTGACAAACATCCTAAAATTATAAGTAAGCTCTTTCATATGGCTGATACTATCATCAATTGCAAGTGCAGCAGCTGCAGCATTATGATTATCTTGATGATAGTGAGGAGGAAAGTCAACAGTCGTATAATGGCCACATTTTTATTTAACATTACAAATTGCTCTACACACGAAAGGTATTTCTTTCTTTCTAAAAAAAAGAAAAGTAAATAAAAAATCTTAGTATCTTTTCATCAATATTTTAAATTTACTTGATAGAATATATGATCTTGGAGATGTATGCATTTAAATGACAATTGATGTTGAAATAATAATTTTAAATCTTTAATAACATCTTTTAAACAGATTAAATACTGAAAATTATTCAAGAAATTATCATCAAATGAATGTTTTCATAGGAACCAAAGCTTTGTTTTTTAATGAAAAATTCATCATTGTTTATAAAAGATATATCTACAGAGAGTGAGAAAGAGAGAGACGAATTTCATAAAATAAATTGATTGGCCCTAATTTGTTTTGTCAAGCTACATACGAAGAAAGCTATGGGTGGGGGTGCGAATGTACCCAAGGAGGGTTGAAGCCTACCTTAATATATCTGAAGTTGAGTGTAATATCTGTGTTTTTTGATATTCCCTAACCCTAAGTTGGAGCCCCTTTAACAATAAATTCATTCAAATATTCAAATTAACCCTTTCCTAAAATGTTTTCAGGGTTGGAAATATTTACTAACAGGTACGTTCGCACCCGACCCCAAAAGCTATTACTTGGCTCTATGATTCTGCCATTTCAGCATATCACAGAGCGCTTTATATATAATTGGATTAAGTACTTATTTGGTATGAAAAATGCCATAATAACAACATAAATATCATTTTGTATATTCACATTAAAAAATAATGATATGATTCCTGAAAATGCATGTATCATTGACTAATGAACCACCCACGAAATGGCCGCCTATCCAAACAACAACCCATTTATTGTAGTTTATATTTGTTAACAAACCTAGTACGGATAACGGTGTCGATATTAGAACGATGGAAAATGATATAACATAGACGGTTGTAGATATTTCTTTGGTTTTGTTGAGTTTCTCTTTTAATGTGTAGCTTCTAACATATATAAATATATTAAGGTAAAGGCAACATATAAATAAACTTTGAATGAATGGTATAAGATTAAAGAAGAGAAATGAATATATCCATCCTTCACACTTTTCCTTTCTTATATAAATATTAAGGCAGATTGTTGTCTTTGAATAGAATTCCTTAAAAATATCCCAATAGAAAAACAATTAAATAAACACCTTTCCAAGTGATTTTAGTTTGGAAAAACTAAAATAAGATAAGATTAGGATGAAGATGGATTCATCCGTCTCTTTCTCTCTCTCTCTCTCTTGCCAACTTACTGTATATTGCACATTCAATATTATTATTAAAATCACCGCAAATATAATTGTTATCAATGTGAATACATATTTAAATTGTTTAATTTTATATTTTTTAAAAGGATTCATAATAACTGCGTATCTTTCCATTGCAATTAATAGAATACTTGACGTTGAGGAGAGCAATGAAAATGACATTAAACAATGACGCAGATGGTATATTGTACTATTTCTCCATTCTTCTTCATTTGCTAGAAAAGACTCATTGTTGTAATAAATATCGTCAATACATATTGAAATGATATAGATTGACACTAGAAAGTCGGCTAGCGATAAATTCAATCTAAACAATTTTAAAAAAAACAACTTGAGAATGATATTAAGAGAATAAAATTCGCCAATAGGCTTATTATTCCAAAACATCAAAATAGAATTTTAATATGTCTATTCGGAGTGACAAGTGATAAATTTTGGTGGTAATGGAGTACAATTTACTTCTGATCCATGATATTTATCAATAAAGCAACATTTTTGAAATTTTTCGGCAATGATAGTTTCAATTCGTTTGAGTAGTTTTAAATTTTTCGCCATACCATTTAATGGAAGTTTTGTCCTTTTCATTGATATTTTTCGAATGGTGTAAAAATTTTGAAAGACGCCATCTTCTTTTTCTATAATAAAACTAGATTATTACAGACTACAGACTATTCGCTGTATAAATAAGATAAAATTCCTTTTATAAAGACTCTTATAATTTAATGACCTATGACATTAATAAGTGGTACTGATAATGGGCCAGTAGTTTCAGATGCTTTTTGACAAACAAAAGATCTTATTTCTAAGTCGTCAATTCTACCATCAAATAACAATACACCAAAACCATACAATTTTGAATAATAGAAGTAAAGTAATCTATTTTGGAAAATTATTATTAATAAATTTAAATTAGAAAAAAAACTGGTACCAAAGATTTAGCCATTTAAATTTGAAATATCTTTGTAAAATTTCTTTGAAATGTTTCTTGTGCCTTAAAATTCTACTAATACTAAATCCTTTCTGGGGAGCAAAAAAAGTTATCATCAGTAGTATCCCTATCTACTTGCAAGAATTTTTTAAGGAAACATAACTTGAGAGGCTATGTTGCAGCAAAAAATCCTCTATTAAAAAAAAGGCATTTAATAAATAGGAGACAGTTTTGTAAAAGACTCCTCTCTTGGAACAAAGAGCAAATTAATTCAATTGTGTTTTCAGATGAGACAAGGATAGGTTTATATCCAAAACACAGGCAGTTTGTCAGAAGGCATCCAGCAGATAGATTTTTTTTAAAATATATATACAGAATATACATTTAATATCATTTCTCTCTACTGGAAGAATTTGATTTGTAACAAGTTAATATTAATCTTTCATTTATCATTTCATCCTACTATTCACTAGAAAATAAAAAATATTACATTCTTATGACAATTTAATATAATTTTTATTTTTTTTTACAATTTGCAACAAGGCTTCCAAGACTTTAATGAAACAGCATCATCGTCAATTTTTGATAGATGAAACTCAAGTAATGAATAGGTTTTTTTGTATCCTAATTCTCTGCACATTTGACCTAACAATAACAGATTGAAATAATTTAAAAACATATTTTGTTATAATTATTGAATAAATAGAATTATCATCAGTTTCAGCAAATAAATATCCTTTAACGTAATTTTCATTTTCCTTAATTGGTTGATGAACAAATAATGCCATAATTTCGAAAGAAGGGAATGTGAAAAAATTGATAAGCAAAGTGAAAACGCCGTATTTAAACATAATGTTAATAAAGGACAAAAGAAAATGTAGTTGAGAGAAAACTAGCATAAGTTTATTTTTTAGATACTAAACAAACATCTTTAAATGATAGTAAAAATTTATTTTTTCAAATTATATCAGTTTACGCAAATTAATAATCTTTTTCCTTTCTCTTCAATTAAGAACTTATTTGTCCAGAATTAAAACTTCATGGATATGTACTATAGCAGTATTGAGATAGAGAGAAAAATATTTGAAATTTTAGACTTGGAGGACTATTGGATGATGAACTATTAGTTCAAACATCATATATTTATGCTCCATTGTATTCTTTCTTTAATTTCACTTTTTTCCTATCTTTTATCTTTCATAGCTAAATGTTTCTTTATTATCAGTGTCTTATTGTCATTCAGTGTCTATTTATAAATAAAATGGCTAGAATTTCATGGGTACGTTTTCACCCATGTATGGTTTCACCTGCTGCCTTCAAAACATTCTCTCTACCAACAAAGCGTACGGTTTTTCGTCATTATTCCTATCATTTTAAATGTTCTATTCAAGTTTTGCTGCCAACTAACTTGTATCTGTCTACATATGTCTGGTACTACATCAAAGCCATCTATTAAACAACAACTTTCATTGCGTAATTTTTAAAATATCAAAAGGTATGCTATTCCTTTGAAGAAGATTTGTTATCTCGATATTTTCCCTCTCATCTAGATCGCATTTCTCAAAATTAATATACTTTAAAGTGTTTGTTGATTATTTGATGGATGAACTAGAAAACCTTTGCAAATACTCTCGCAAGCGTTTCCATTCATAAAGTTATAATTAAGATTAATTGTTTCCATGCTGGAGGAGATTTTCAACAATTTATGTAACTTTTTACACTGCTCTTCGCCTAGGGAACATTTTTCAAAATTTATATATTTCAAAGTATTTAACGAATAAGAAAGTCCTTCGCAAATGTTTGAAAATCCTTTTTCCATTTCATTATTTTGCGATAATTTGATTATTTCCAATTTCGTACAACATTTAAAAAGTTTTCCCAATCTAGTGCATTGTTCTTTATTTATCTTACAATTGTCAAGATAAATATTCTTTAGAGCATTCGACGATTGAACGAGTCCTTCGGAAATCTTTGAAAATCCATATTCCATATTATCATTCTTTCTGAGACTGATTGTTTCTATTTTGGAGCAATTTTTCAATAATTTTCCTAAACTATTACATTCTTCTCTATTTAAATTACATTGATCAAAATACAAATATTTCAGAGCATTGGACGAATGGATGAGTCCATCGCAAATATTCTGTAATCCTTCATTCATATAAACGTTACTTCCTAGATTGATTTTCTCAATTCTCCGACACGTTTCAAGTAAATTTCCAATATATTTACAGTCATCATTAAATAATCTACATTCCTGAAAATCGATGCATTGTAGAGAATTTGATGAATTGGCTAAACCTTCGCAAATTTTGGGCAATCCAGTTGAAGAGATTTTAAAAAGATTTTCCAACTGTTGGCAATCTTCTTCTATCAGTTTACAACTTTGAAAATTAATAGTTTTTAAATTATTTGATGATTCGG